ATCTTCAAGTCAAGCACCAGTGTCCATGGCAAATTACCCTTTCAGCAAAGAGGTTAAGCTGCTCCTCATTTTGCTGTTTTCCCATGTTATTTACTTACTTCTGGAGGAATTCTCTCAATCTGAGGAAGATACCGGCAATGCTGACATTCCTATTGAAAAGCTTTGTGAAAATATTTACTGAGAGATTGCCCAGTGATTCCTGGTTCTTTTGCTATGTTCATGATCACCTTAGTCAAAGCCACTTTTCATTCTCATCATTGCCAATGAGACCGTAGAGAAAATATTCACAAGGATCACCACTTAGTACTGGTTTTTACTTATTCCTATGCAAGTCAGTTGATCTCCACATGCAGCATTACGAGGCAACGCTAATACTTAGATGCCTGTTAGCACTCCGTGGCTGGATCCTACTCATCTGCAACAAACACCTCAGCAATATCCAAGCCTGTGTGTTAGACAAGAATGCAGAGGGAGAACAGTTGGTTTGTCACTAAATGAGATATTCCCCATTACTTCTGAGTATTCATCAATTTAGGTTAGTAACTTCTTTGAAAGAGCTGATTTTGTGTACAAACCTCCCTGCAATCATTTTTATTTATCCTTGTCCTGTTTAGTTCTAACCAGGACAGTTGTTCATATTAAAAAATCATACTTCCTCATTTAAGTTATATACTATCTAGGTTTGATTTTCCTCAGCTTGATTGAACTTGATGCTCTTGAAATCAGTGTATCAGGCATGATGCAAATTTTTCAGCTTTAGCAAACAAATATTTGAACCATTCATCATGGTTACTTTTCAGGGAGGAACCCAAATCACCTGGTAAGGACATACAGAGCCATTAAAACATGAATGATTAAGCCAGACGATGGGTGTAACTTGATCAGAAAACATAAGACTAATAAATTACATGTATTTGACTTTATTTGTGCATATGATTGCAGATAATAAATACACATTAAAAATCCATTAACATATATTGTATTAAATCCACATATCCTGGGCAAACAAACTCCCTCCTATGAGCACATACCTCCCCCATGTTACCAAAATGCACACTCCACCTGGTACAGAGTCTCGTACAAAATTATTATGCTACCAGTACATAGATGTGCTTTAACCTTTCCTCATGAAAGATGTAACAATGCAGATACTGTTCAAATGCATTTATTAGAATTTTTCATGATAGAATAAACTTGTTCTTTTGTCAACGCTCTTTTTTTTTTTTTAATCTTTGAGTTTAATTTCTCCCCTATGAATCTGTTCTGGCATTCAGAGAAGCATCTTTAAGGTGTTTGTAAAGGGTATAGGATGAATCCAAACTCTTCTTTTTGCAGCCACAAATGCCTTTCCGGCACCATGCCTCCCTCCATGGTGCAAGAGACCTCACCTTTTTTATAAGCCCTTGTGAAAGGTGCTCACAGGCCCTGCATATTGCCGAGCCCAGTGCTGCGGAGGCTTCCTAAGTGACTGCACCTAAGGAGCGGCTAAAAATAAGCTGTGAAAGATACAGGAGGATGTCAGTGAATCCTCCACTCTATCCCAGACCTGGGATGTCATATCATCTTTTGTTTCCACTGAACTATTACACAAAATTCTCAGCCATCAGGCAGGATTCACCCGTTGTTCAGACATTCAGAGTACCACCTAAAGCATTTGACAGACTGCATATAGCTTGCATAGCTTTTTTTTTTTTTTCCCCTACGTACCTGTTTAAACTATAGAAATTTGCAAAAAGAAACTGAAGTGAGCTGTTAAGGTAGAAAATACATCTTTGCACATATCTTTTTTGCACCTAGATTAAAAAAATCAAACACATTTACTCACTATATTCCCTTGGTTATAATTAAACTAATGACAATTGCTCTCATTCCTATAATTATTGCAGACAGTATGTCCTTAACAAACTGCAATATTGTCTAATAAAATATGGTATCAAATTTAGGACAAAAACATTTGTCATTGTGCAATACTGACCAGCAATTAAGGCAGGTAAGTATTCTCATCCAGTATCTCATAAAATTATTACGTAACTCCAGAGACACTGATCAGCACAGTAAATTTGCACTAAGATAGAGAGACAAATATGAACATAAAAAAACTTAAGGAGTCAGATAAGAAACTATGAAAAGGAAATCTTTTTATGGAAAATATGCCCCACAGGAGCAGAAGAATTTGTTCGCAAATTCAGTGCTCTCTTGCAAGAAGATTTAGATAATTGTGAATATTTAAGAGAAAGATATCAACTCAGCCTGTCTATGCTATACTTATAATGTGTGATTAGTGTTAAATATATTTTTGTGCATATAGAATAAAAAAAGCAAACAGAAATGCTAGAGACGTACAGACACACACAATTTCTTTTTTTACAGTATTATGCTTCCTCAGGTTAAAGAACAGGATACCCCAAGACACCCTCTAAGCTACTCATGCATAAAATCACAAAAGGTGTACCCGTAGATCAATAAACTTTTTATTTACAGGGAAAAAAAGTAACATCATTAGTTTGGGGAAATCCAGGTCTCCTTTGAATCAAAGACCAAAAATACCAACTGACTTACTTCAGTGACAGGAGGAACTGGCTTTTGTGGTTAAAAGCCATCAAGATACATTGTGTTTTAGAATTATCACTAAATTTTAGCCTGTAAGCATTGTTCAGTATCATTGGGAATTTAAGTGGTTTTTTTTCCTTTTCTTTACCTTATGTATACTGATTACAGATGATCAGGTCCTGAGTCCTTCAAGTCAAAGGAACACAGAATACACACTGACTGCTCTTAGCAGGGTAACCCCCAAGTCAGCAGGTGACAATGTGGAAAAACTTATTTTAATTGTTCTTCAGTACCTTGTTAGAAATAGACTGTACTGTCCACAGCATTCAAGACTAAGGAGTTTAAGACAAGACTCTGTACTAATAGAAAGAGAGAGTATTAGTGTGAAAGAACCCCAAAATAATGCAATTACTTGGAGGTCTGGGCGAGGAGGAGTCAGACAACAATGTCAGATAGTACCAGTTTAATTCCTTGTTAAGGGTGTTGCATGACATTTTCTTTTTTAGCGTGGTTAAACCCTTGTTTTAAGGCAGGGCATGCAGAGTTCGGCCACCGATCTTGCAGATAAGGAGAATTGTTCTGCTCTGGGAAGTGGAGAGAGATCTGAAAGCAGTGGAAGAATACTAGGTCTGCTCTTCAGCAAAATAAAAAACCACAGCATGTGAGTAATCTTATCGTCAGTCATCAAAGTATGTATCCAAGTTGTTCTCTGCATAATGATATGATTACTCACACGAGTAAGGTTAAGCACATGCTTTTGCTGAACTAATATATCTGGACAGAAGCCACAACATTTTATGCAGTTCTCCGGAGGTTTTCTCTGCAAATACTGGAACACCCACAGAATTGAAGGGTGCACAGAGATTTCTTTCTGCTTTCCGTGTAACCATCACACAGAAACTCCCTGAACTTTTGCTTGCTTCAAAGCATGTTAGTCCTCATACAGGATGTGAGTTTGTACTAATACCAGGACCAAAATGCTACTTGACATTCTAGGACAGTGCAGTGAAGAAAAGTCTTTTATAAGGGGATATAAACCATTACTCTGAATTCAGAAGTCATTGAAACTAATAGGTGCCTAAGACGGGGAAAAAAATCTTGAGTTCACACCAAAGATGACAGGGTTCACGCAGCTCAAACAAAAGAATGCTGTCTGAACCTTGACTCACAGAAGGATCCTGTACTTCAAACCAAGGGTGGCCAAGTGAAGAGGACATAGATCCTCAGGCAATGAAGTAATCCCAGGTCTGGAGGTAGGCTGAAAAAGGGGAAGTGGAACAGAAAGCCATAAAAGTAGCAGCCAGAATGATGCATTCTTATATATCAGTTTTCTGTGGTCCACAGTCACAAGGCACAATCACTGCACCGGCAAGTAAGTGTTGATGCACACATGAGGTGTAGCAACAGCAGGACATTTACAGACACCTTAACTAAAACTACTAGTGTTAACTACTAACTCTTCTGTTGCTCAGTGTCCTCCAGCTACCATTTTTTAAATTATATTTTTCTAACTGATTTTGTGTGGTATAAGGAAAAAATGAGCTGCAGACAACTAATCTATGAGAAAAATGATGGGTAGATACCGCATCTACTAACCATTTGTTAATAACTAAGTCCAGTTCTGTGCAGAGAGCCTGAATAAGACCCATATGTCATTTATTCTTTTTCACTGAGGACTGAGAAGGCCTTGATGGAGGTATTTGGTAAAGTTGCTGGTGTAGCTCTTAAAAGTTATGAAGAATCTGATGGTAGATCTGTGCTGATATAAGAGAGAAGGTGAACACTGAAGTAATGGTGTGGAATGAATATGACTTTTAAAGGCATTAGGTGTTTTAGTTTTACCTAAAATAAAAGGAACTTACTAAGACAGCGGTAGATCCAGTGAGCGTTTTTTCTAAACCACTAATGGAAACACTTCTGCTGTTCAAGAGAATGAATATACAAACTGTTTGCACATTTTGCAAACTTAGCATTACTTTCTGAGTTGGGAGCTGTTCCACAGAATACTTTCCTTAGCAAGTGGCACCTTTTCTAGTAAATACTTGAAAAAACCCCAAGAATAAGTTAGTTCAACTCGGTGCAATGTTAAGGCTTCTCTCTTGAATTACAACTGTCTGAGTTTACTATGTTTTGAAGTCTCAAGCCTGTAACTGTCAACTGCAACAGGACAAGAGTAGACAGGGCACTTCCTGGTGGGTTTAGAAACCTAACTGCAGAAAATGCAAAGCAAACAATTAACATATATGTAATCAGGCAGATTCCAACATTTATAATAATCATTCCAAGTGGTTACAGCAAGTCAGATAGGTTTTCTAACATCTGGATAAGTTGACAAGAGATCTAGAAATCCTATCAAATTTTCTGCTGTACCTCAGTCACATGGAAAAGGTTTTATATACATGGTCTATTGAAAAGTCAAGACCTGATACAAAGTAAAAGGCACAGATATTATAGAACAGTGAAATTTCTTGAATAAAAAGATCTTATAAATTAGATGACGATTAAAATTTGGAACAGCTATTTTGCTGCTGCCTTACTTCTCAGTGCTGACTGTTTCTTGACCAAACATCTCTATCTTTTCTAATGCTGTACCACTGTGTGCTGAAGCAGTCTTTCCTGAACAGCTTTTCTTGCTTCTTCCCATTTCTGTAGCTTCAACCAAAGTATTAGTCAATGGTTTTCCCAGTGTTTCTGGAAGCATTATTGTTAATATTCCACTCAGAAGAGCCATGATTCCAACAAGCAACTAGAAAAAATAAACAGTAGCTGTAAAGGTAGAAATGTCTTTCAAGTTATTAATCTCTTTGATCTTCCTTGAGAGTACAATTAAAACAAATCATAAGGAACTGTAATGAACAAAAATCTTAAGTCTTAAATGTTGACTGTACAAAAGATCTGCTTTTTCGTTGCATAAATGAAAGATCATGCAGGGATCAATACAGTGCAAGCAGGAATAATTCTGTTTGAAGAAACAATACATATATCTTTGTTTGGTATTTCTACTGTTAGGTGTGTATATAAGAATTGATTCTAGTATTGCATACATTTATTTTTACAAGCATGTTCACAGAGCTACAATTTCCCTGCTACCTGTAATCTCAATTCGCACTCCAGCTCCTGAACCTATTCCCCTTGCATCTGTGTGCCTATTCCTCCTGCACACAGCCAGAACAGAATTTCTCAGTGTAGCTCGCTGGCCTGGAGCCACAAAAATGCATATCCCTACTCAGGAGAGCTCAAAAATACTTTGCTAAGCTTAGTTTCAAAGAGCTGTTAGAGGTGCATGAATTATCTGACATCTGCACTGGGATCACATCTTGGATTTGTCCACAACTGCACATAGTTCCGTAACAACAGCTTACTACAGCACAAGTGGTGCAAGGATCAAGCTCACATGGAGCAGATACAGAAGCACACACATGCTCCAGGAGTATCTTTTCTTCCCCTTCATTTCTGTGTCTGGTTCAATGGGAATAATTCATGCTCTCCTCCTCTGAAGTACAGGACAGCATTAGAACCCTGACAGACTTCCAACACCAGGTTATAAATGACCCAAATCTCTCTTGATGGAAATGCTTCCACACAGTACATCATGCCTGGCCCTGGTGTTTTTCCATTTTATGACTGTGCACTTTGATACTGTATTATCCTTATCTTGCCTTATCCTGATTCTCAGGTCTGTCTCATTTGTTTAATACTTTCTTTCCAAGTGTGAGAAAGAACATTTAGAATTACTATGCCAATCTCTCTTGCACAGAGCTTCAGACAAAAACTGGCCAGCTACCATCTGCAGCTAAGCCAGACTTTCTCTTTAAATCCTAAGGGTGCTTTCAAATTGGAATTCTCCATTGTAACCACTCTAACCTTGAACAGTGCTGCTTTTGCTTCACTTCCCCTCCAAAAGAAGAGAACAGCTTGTCTCAAGCACTCTTTGGAAGTCACACTGTTGCATACACTCCTCTTTCTGCACTTGCATTTTATATAGGAGCTGACCAAATAAAAAATTAAGCAAAATATTGTTTCATACTAAAAACTACAGTGAAAATAAAATACTTATGCTCCTACCATGAGGAATTAAAAATCCTAGCACTTATAGGACTGAGTATCAAACTGAGGGACACATGTGTATGTAGCAGGACTGATAAAAATATATTCCAAAATACTGAAGTTTCACCTCCGAGCGTCAAAACTCTATTCCACTATTAAAACACAATTTTCTGCCATGGCAAGACTAGAAGAATTGACACATGGAAGCTATTTGACACTCACCCCTCTTACGCACATCCTTTAGACTGTCCTAAGTTTATATTTGGGGATATTGAGGGCTGTAAAGGATATTGACGTTTGTGCACACCCATATATTTGGAGTTTATGAGAACAGGGTCACTACCAATGTCCAGCAGAACAAGATTAAAGCAATGCTGAGCACTTTAATTATGTGTGTCTCCTCTGTTTCAGTTAAGTCTTTTAGATACTTAACATTCTTCTCATGTTTTCCTTCCTCACAAATCTACCTCTTATTTCCCTGGGAACTCTCACTACTCTGTAGGCATACACATCACCATCTCTCCTGCGTTTTCATCTCAGCTCTTACTCCATCACTTTTGTTTTTATTTTTCAGTGTGAAAGTTGCTGCATGCTAATTCAGTGTGTTCCCCTTCTCCCTGACCCGACAAAGCATTTTCCATTATTTCCTACCAAAAATAGAATATGAAACAATTAAGTCACAGTATATTAATGAAAGGACTTCTGAGATGTCATCTACCTTTTCAGGGGTAGTAATGACATCTATCCATGAACTTACATATAGTCAAAGCAAGTCTTTTCACAGTCTTATTTTGGTGTACTTTTTCATGAGGCATCTGACATAATTTATCCCTTTGCTTGCTCATAATGCACATATTGTGTGTGCATGTACTATTTTACACATATATTTCAGTATCAGGAAAAGTTCTTTTGATATAGTCAATGAGTTAAATGCTTAAGGACTAAAGTGTATTATTGTGCAAAGTATTTAAGTACATTTAAGCTCCATTCAAGTTGACAGAAGTACCTGCTAAAACTCATTGCTTTTTCAAGGTTTTAATGTGAAATTTGACCTTCTGCTTAGTCAAATTTTCAGACACTTCAGTACAGCCAGCAGTCTCCAACAGCTACCACAAAAAATGTCAAAAAAATATTTGCCACTATTTTTCAGATGCCCTCCTCCCTACCTGGAGCAGTAATTTTAATTTCACAGTGGTCTAAGATCAGCACTTAATATGTTTAGTCTAGAACAAAAGATAATTTGAATTAAATATCCCGACAAAAAATGCTTTTTCTTCTGAGAACAAATGATTATTCTAGTCTGCTACTTATATCTATATCAACATCTGATGGTTCTGAACCAATCTAAAATGTGATCTTATTTTAAAAAAATCCTATTTCAACAAAAAAGGTTAAATTTTGTCCTGAAAATCCACTAGTACTAGACACAGGATTTCTATGCATTTAACTTTACTGAACTCAGCGGAGGTTTTTTTAATTTTTAATTTATGGTTTATTAGAGAAAAATCAAGTCTGTTAAAGTGCTACTGGACCATAATTCTTAACAGCTGAGAAAAAGAAATAGGTTGTATCTGAAGCTGGTGTCTTATTGTAGGTTTTCTAGAAAGCTGTCACATGAAAAACATACTTTGCAAGTTATTCAGGATTTATAGGCATTAAAATAAGATGCTTACATTACTCACAGGTGGCATAACTGTACATGAGGCAGACTGTCAAAAAAATAGCAGTAGTAACTCCTTGACAATGTGTGGTGCATATAATAGATCAACACGACATACATCAGTTTACTTACAAACATAATCCATTTCATTTCAATGCCAAAACACTTACCTGACCTGAGCGCATGCTCCAACTCAGGACAAGCCTATTTAATAAAATGGCAAATGTTTTGCAACAGGAGCTAATAATGAAAACATATTGACTATGAACTACTACACAATTCTACAAATATTCTCGATACTTTTTGTACACTGAGAGTTGTAGCTGAAACAATTCCTCTGTTTGTGCTGCCATTTGCCCTGCTCTCCAGCATATTTGAGCATCCCCCCCATCTGTGGTTTCACTGCAGCACTTCTGCACAGATAAAGCTTATCTCACGCAGTAAAGGCAAAACACTGACAAGAGAAGAAGAATGTTCTCCCATGACCACTCTGTTGTGCAAATGTTTCTTTGTCTTTTCTGATACGGTATCTTGGTTTGCATGGGGTGATTTTTAAGAAAGAAAACATTTTTAAGGAGCTTGAGGTAATAAATTAATTTGTGGTCTCCTTCATCCTCTCAATTTTCATCCAAAACAACTGAGAGCAATTAATTTAAATAATTAAACGAGTTCCCAATAATTCTCTGAAACTAATCTTTAGCACCTGTAATTGAAGATTTTGTAGTTGCAAAATCAAAAGGACACAATGCCACTTTTTCAGGAAATTCCAATATGGTAGACAAAATTAGAGCAAGAATCTAGGTTAAAGACACATCCAATTTTCACCTTCTAACATGCATAATCTACATATAATATTAATGTAGATGTAATGTAATGCCATAGTCACAGTGAATTTTAAGGGGTTTTTGAAAGAACTTGAATTATTTTTAAAACATTAATAAACTCTTCTCTACTTAAAAGCTTTAATATAAACTTTGTAAGTTCTTGTAAATGAAAAACACAAAAAGAAAGCTTTGGGAGAGCTGTAAAGACCAAGAATAGTAAGTGTAAGACATTCTTGATCTTTTGGAAGGCTATTCCAAAGATATAATGTCCCAGGGAAGCCATGGAAAAATTAAGGAATAATATAAGAAAAAAACAGCCACTCATGAGGAATTCCAAGAAAGGAAGAACTATGCCTTTCGAAAAGGGTAAGAGAGTACATCAGGAGCATGGTCAAGAACTGCTAGGCTTGCAGAGCAAAGAAGTATGGACTAAGACATTTCGTAAACGTTAGATGGTAGACGAAGTATATTTTTAGGGAAAATATTTATATCAATTTTATACCAGGATTCAGTGCCTAAGTATTTTTATGTCTTCCATCATAAAATATTTCAGAAGATTTCAGTGACTCAGACTCTCCCTTTTGCTTCAGCTGCATATTTTTAATGATATGAAGTTACTAATCTCTGAGACTTAAAATTTAGAACATGAATGGTTTGTTTAATTTCCTTTTCAAAATAAAAGTCCAGTTTTGGTTCCTGAGGAAACAAGTGCTACGTGTACCTTTTCAAAAGAACTCACCATTGACACAAATACTTACAAGAGGCATGAAAATCCAAACACTTCTTAGATATACACAAAAAGGAGCAACCACACTTCCTACACGGCACATCATGCTTCCACTTCCAACAGCAAGTGATCTACACATAAAACAAAGACTTTGATAAGAATCCTGTCAGATAAAGGAAACAATTAAAATGCACAGGTACTTAAAGCATCTGTAGGATATGTGTCTTTAAGCAATTAAATTAGAAAGCTATTACTACACCAATGTATATTTATATTGTAGTGAAATTCAGCTGCTTCTATAATTAAGAATTTAAGCATTATTCAGCATAGGCCACAGGATGAACAACCAGGACTCTTCAGAAAGGCATAAATACCGCTTACAAAAGTACTAGCTATTCTTCTATTTCCCCGATGAAACCAATCAATGCACGTGGAATGAAAAATAAATAAAAATTTATGGTATAGTCAAACACTAGACAACTCTGAAGTAGCTGAGAATCTCATACCAAGTCTTTCAGACCACCATCACCGATGCCAAGAGCTGCTGGATCTGGCACAAGAGCATAACAGCGGAAAGGAAATAACAGCAAAGTAATGAAAAATAAATAGCTAGCAAAAGTTCTTACCTTACAATTGTTGGGTACAGTTCTGCTGTGTAGAGATATATAAGGCCAAATGCCACACCTATTGAAAATTTTCCAGCCATATTTGCTAAGATAATTAATATATTGAAATCCTATTGAAAGAGAGCACAAATAAATAAATCACCAGCAAATAACACTATTCAAAATATAATTTAAATCCTTCAAAAGCTGTGACTCTTCCTTAAACATAAGCAATATTTATTGCTTGCTTTTTTTAAAATCACTCTTAATAAGTAACTAGTGTCCGTATCACTTTTCACCAGTCTTGGTTCACTGAAGCCCTGCGAACATTTTACATATGACTCCAGCAATGACAGTGAAACCTGTACTGAAAATACAGAAATCTTAGACTGATAGTTGCAGTTTAAAAACAGCCTTTAATCAACTACATGATTTAGAAAGAGCAGCTACATCTACAGACTTAAGAGCCTTTAAAATCAATTTCTACTACAGGAACACTTTCAACAATATGAGACTAACCTGAGGTATGAACATAATGAAAACACAGATCAGTGCACTTAAAATAAGGAACGGAATGAGTGTGTTTCTCCTTCCGAGTTTGTCCATCGCAATGCAAGCAATGACATAGCAAGGCAACTCCACAGCACCTGTCAGTATGAAATTAGTTTGTTTTAAGTCATGGTTACACATACTGTTGTTATAACTCTAACTTCCTCTTTATGAGGATTAATTTAATCTAGGGGGTAACAAATAAGGGAAATCTAGAGGTAACCAGTATGTTGTGCTAGTTCATTTGGTGACAGAAACGGCAATAGAAGTCAGAAAGGATGGCCTAATATATAGTAGTGGGGGATGAAGAAGGACAAGGGAAATAGTCTTCACAGTGCTGAGCAGCTTCAGTTGTCTTTGGGGTGGAAAATTACAGAAAAGCACAAGGCCACAGTCCTGCTTTTATGGCACCGGCACTCAGGACCGAAAGCTCTCTGTTTGCTGCTCTTCTGCTTCAGGTATTTTCACATCAACAGCTTAAGCGCGCCCACAAGGAATACTGTTAGTCTCACACAGACACACCTCCCACAGTTTGCCAGCTTCCACCTGGACACAGAACTGAAGCCACAGGCATCTCCCTCAGCATCAGCCCCAAATCACCCCCGTGTAAAAGGCAAGCAAGCAGGTCCAGTTTTCCAAGTCAGCTCCACAAATACAGAGAGTGCGATTCCAGCTTTCTCCCTTCTCCATTAAAAGTGGGCAGCTGCTTACGGTGTCATGCTCTTACTCAGATCGTCTCCTTCTGATGCCTCTTTCCAGAGAAAACTTCTGTAGCTTTAAAGGAATGGGCATTTGGCTAGGACTGTTCACAAACCTTGTGTAAACAAGATTTGCCCCTTGACAAATTATATTGAGCCTAAGCTAGTTCAGGCATGTTTTAAACCAACTTGCTTATGAAGAAGGCAACTATGCTCAATGAAAAATCAAAGAAGAACATAAGATATAGCCCTGAACAAATATGCTGCATTCCTTTACTAAGCATGTATGGTATGTCAATACGCCTATAATATTGGGAAACAATCTTTTGGGCTTGTGTTGCTAAAAGCAGGTTGCAATTATTCAGTGTTTATTACTCTGCTAAAATACTTTTGGAGGAGGTGGATACAGTGATTTACACACTGTAGTCCACCATAACAGCTCAGTTATCTGTGCAGTGCTAGCATCCACTCTTCAACACATCAATACACCAATACACTATAACACATGACAACACAAACTGAACTCGTGAGAGCCCCGGTCCTTCTGTGTGCTCATGTACATGAACAGTCTTGTTCACTTTACTGAGAGTACTCAGTTGTACAAAGCAAAGCGCGTGATTTAATTCTTTGTTGGCTCAGAGCTGTGTGCTTGATCTAGAGTTTTCTCAAGTCAATGGAATATTTCCACTGACTTTAACAAACTTTGAATCAGGCCTTGAATGCACTGAGACACAATTTATATACCAGAGGAAGATTAAGTCAGACTGCCAAAATTAAAAGTATAGTACAACTAAATTAAAATTATGCTTTTGAGACAAATAAAATTACTCTTGCTTCTGAGGGTTATGAATGTATTTTCTACACAGACAGACTCAATACGTCATGACTATAAGTGATTAAAGGAATATTTTTCCCCCTTTTTTTCCTAGTTTGTGCCTTTAACAGAGCTGTGTGAATTTTGTATTGTTGGTCTGCTTTCCTGGGTGTTTGTGCAGATCTACTATATGCTTGCAGGGCAAAGAAGAGACAAACAAAATATGATTTTGCAATCACAAAGACAGACAGAGACGAATTTTGTATGCCATCAAATTTTAAATTGACTTTTTTTTTCCAGAAACAGTGAGATTTGGAGTGAATGATACTGCTTCTGTGTTAGTCAACTTTATGAAGAGTTAGGAAGAAAGTTTTTGAATGAGGTTCATAATTGAATTAACAACGTTTAAAAATTGACTGTCAAATCTACGGACATTTCTAAATGCTATGTTTTAGTTCTGTCATAAACAGAATAAGGTACAAAAATATTTACCTATGAGAAAGAGATTTAAATATTCATTGCCTCCTAGACTGACAGAACTGAGGGAGAAGACGTAGTACCCCAAGCTCCCAGTGAACCAGATCAGCCAGACTGTGATGGTCCTTCTTGCAATGTGCCAGTTACAAAATAGGTCTAAGATGTTGTGCTTCTTTGTTGAGGATGTGTCATTGTCACCCATTCTGCCACTGCCTAGATCATCTTGTTGGACTGAGCACAGTTCTGAAACTTTGCAGGGAGTGCTGACTTTATTCCATCTTGCCATTATATTAATTACTTTTTGTGCATCTTCGTATCTTTCCTCTGACAAGAGCCAAAAAGGTGTTTCTGGGAGCATCCAGCAGCACAAAACAAAGGGAAGAGTCGCTATGGAGAGAAATATCTGATAGACCCACCAGGTTCGAACCAAAAATCCCACGAGTGCCACAACCATAATTCCCATAGCAAAAAAAGCATGGACATGCATAGAAGCCCAGGTTCGTGCTTTAATGCCAACAAATTCAGTCACATAAACAAAAGCCACAACCAGATAGCCACTTGAAACCTGAGAAGTTGGGAGAGAGAAAAAAAAAAGAGGTTTGTATTTATTCTCCTTGTGCAACAGCAATAAAAACAGCTAACAGTGTTCCACGTTTATGTACACTTAATTGCCACCACATCAGCATGTCCCACACTGAGAGAAAAAAAGGCAACCCTGAAAACAAATCATCTGGAGAAAAAGTTCCCTTAAACCTTCAGACTGCACAGACACTGCAAACGTACCGAGAAGCACCTTCCACACAATTTTTTTCCACAAATTTTTACAATGTTGGAAGAGGATCTCTTATAGGTTCTCATGTTATCTAGTGAATGCAATTACTGGCATGTTGTGAATTATAGTATTTCCTCACTGAATATTGAAAAATATTGAAAATACATATATATATATATTTCAATTTCTCTAGCAACAGTCAAACATTTCAAAACATAGATAAAAAATCTAGACTAAAAATATTCCAGTATATTATTTTCATTAATCAATTTTATGGTTAAAAATATTCCAGTTAATAATCTCTGAGTCTAAATCCACTGAACCTGATAGTAAAGCTGTGCTGATCTCAGCAGCACAGGGCTGAAGCTTTAAACTTCCATCCTGCAAATCAGTCCCAGTGGGCAGTTAACACCTACAGCGTTAGTCTGGTCAGAGCTTTTTGCTTTTCTAAACTACCGCAGCCCCTAGCATCAACAGACAAGGGAGTCAGTAAAAGGATTCCTGTTGGTCTCACTGAGGCTGAAATGCTCATGCAGCTTTTTCTGCTAGGAAATCCTTCTGAGCACTAACCAGACAAGAGGAGCTACAGGTGCAAGGTCCTTCCTTGACTAATGCACTAATGGCAGGAATAAAACAAATTATGTGATTATTTTCAGATTTCTAACCTACTTTAAATAAGTTACATAATTTTTCTTGTGTTAGCATTCTAATTCATTATGCATTATATAGTGAAACACTACAAATATATTTTTGGATGTGAAACAGTAGAATAGGTTACTATATATAGTACTGAATATATATCAGATATTGAATACATATCATACCTATACATAAAACTATGTGTATAGAAACTCATAAACACATATACTAGAATAACCTTAAGTACAGTATAAACATCTAGATGTTAAACATGTTTACCTATATATTTAGTATTTCAGATGTACCTTAAAAGACCAGAGATGCATGGAAGAGAAAATGTGCATCTTTCCTCCATCACTCAAAGTGGTAGAAATAAAGATGATACTTATTATAGATTTGTTATTTTAATAAAAATATACTAAATTTCTAACAATAAGGAGAAATGCAATGGCAGCTGCAGTGCAGAATCCAGAGTTTGCTGCTCACACTTGGTATTTAATTACCAGTCCAGCAGAGGTTGGGATGGAGGAAGTACCAAACACTGCTTCATACAGACGCTTTCTATTAAGTCAAAGAGGAAAACTGCTGTGGTCCAAGAACTTTCAGACTCTCCCTGCTCTGCTGAAATAAGTGCAACAGAGGGGGCTTTAGAATAATGAAGTAGGGGAGGAAATAATAACAAAAGGGAGGTTTTCCTGAGAAGGGGTAGGAAATTACACATAAAAAAACCCAACAGGGTGAACATTCTTTCTTACCATAGCAAGAAGAAAGCGCACAATCACGAAACTGTAGTAGTCAAATGTGAAGGCCACTGTGATGCCAAATACAAACTGACCAGCACTCGTGAACCATATAACACGCTGTCTTCCCAGTCTGCAAATCACAGCAGTGATAAAATTATGAATCACCACAAACATTCTATTAAAATACACCTGCAACTCCTGAGAGACTATCTGGAAGTGAGTCTGAAAATATTGTACCTACTCTTTCACTCACTGTTTAAATTCTAGTTTACTCACCTGTATTCATTTTCCAGCAATTCCAACTTACAAGACAAAGTAAGTTCCTTCTGGAACTGCAAGAAGCTCCTATGGATGGAACTTCCATTCCATAATTCTAGGCTGGAAGCCACATGGAGAAGTGGGCATCACATATGCTCACCTTTAGTTTCAAGTTTAACTTCTACATAACTAACCTGGAAATTTACTGTCTTATTTATGAAGACAGTAAGTAAGACTCACTTTTTCAGGTATTTTATATGAAGTCAATAATTTCTAACAAAAGTGAGCTGTGATAACACATGCCAACTCTTGCCAAAATAACAACCAAAATGGATAGCAATGAAAGGCTTCTGTAACACATCTGTGTTCAGTTATTTGAAGTTGAATTCTCTAATAAAAGACAATTACATACTTCCCCATCATTTTCTGATTGTATCACAGCATATGTGTTCCATATACAAAGAAATCCAGGAAGCTAGTATACTAACAGCAAAAAAAAAACCATGTCATATGTTAGCTTCCCACCGACAACAGAGCAATTTCCAGTGTAAAGGGCATTCAGTAAAAATGAACTTCTGTTTGTTTATCTTCTTCACATATCTCATGGAGAAAATAGACCAAGTAGACCCAGTGAACAAGTGAATGCATGTTATCAGTAAGAAGCTCATCTGAGGCAAAAATATAGAAATTTGCAGTAGATATACAAAACTCTAATAAGGATTCCTTATATTCTATCTAAAAATGTTCTGTAATACAAAATGCGTGGAATCATTTTTCTTCCCTGATAATATTCTCCTGGACTTATTATCTACTCCATTGTGAACAATGTTTCACAGAGCATAGAATCACAGCATGTGTTGGGTTGGAAGGGACCTTTAAAGGCCATCTTAGAGTTTGAGCACTTTCATGGGGGTGGGCTCATATGTCATTTCTTCTCCATGAGTATTTGGCACTACAATAAAAGAACTCTGATTTTTCTCCAACGTTGACCTGGAGTCATGAATGCTTAGGCTCTGATCCCTGCCAGAAGAGATCCCAGTGAGTCCTAGCAGTTGGAGGTCTTCTGCTGGGAAATCTGTTAATTGGGAATGGGAGGAACACACAAACCTATTTCCCACCAGCCAGGATGTGTTCGAAAACAGTAACTTTCAGCTGTAAAATCTACAGCTATAAATCTGCAACTCAGAATGTGTATATTATCTTAACTGGCTTCCCATGGCCTCAATTAATGGAAATTAGAACAATATGATCATAACCTTATAAATCATGTCTGAGTATTAATTAATAAAGCTACGAATAATTTAAAGGGAGACAGAACAAATGTTGGGATGATATTCTGGTTTTGTATTAAATACTTCCACAAAATGTTGAATCAGGAGGCAGCATTGATTCTGTGTGTTCTAAAAGCCAAACTAAAAAAAAGGTCATCTTACTTTTGCATTCCCATGTTGTAACTGTCACACCAGAGTGCTGTGCTAATGAAGGAAAATCAGAAAACAACATGCCTGTTCTCCTTTTTCTGCTTATACTGTTAGCTGTGGGATAAAAAAACACCTGAGAGAACTTTTAGTCAACAAGTTCCTTTATGGAAAGAGATAAATACCACTGAATCAGCCTTCAAAGCAAAACACATAAACTGCCTGAGACAAAACCAAGTACAATGTAACTTAGGCGTTTGGCTCTCATGTGGATAGAGGGGCACAGCTGGGCACACTTCTGAGGTAGGAACACGTGTGATTGTGCTGAGAGAGAAAACCAAGAGAAGCAAGAGGATACAGACGTATGTCTTGGATCTCACTGCTGCTTCGGAGTCCAGCTCTGACACTGGATCTCTGTGTGTGATCTGAAATAACTGCCAGTGAGGGAATTTTGGAGGGGAGTGGGCTGAAGGACAGCCTTGGCACTGTGAGCAAGGGACTGCTCAGGTCGAGTTCCTCCATGGACAGACTCTGCTCATGCTCAAACAGAACTTTGCACAGGCTGGTAAATAAGTGAAACCACAGCACAGCTCACTGACAACCACTATTCCTCCTATCTGGACTAACCTTCAAGAGACTGAAGTTTAAGCTAACCATTCAGGGAAAAACTATAATTGGGCTGCAAGGAAAAATAGTGTATGGGTGTTTATTTTAAGAATGTGGAGTCTGATCAAATTCTCAAAGCCCTTGCATCAGTCTCACAGAGATGCATTCATAACAGAGTTAGGAAACCTGTGATTTTAAAATACAAGATTTTTAACTTTCCAGTAGCCCTTCAGCTATTCATCATCCCCAGAAACAAAAATCTGTGTTTCCATGAGGAATCTCTCCTTATGGAAAATGAGGTGAAAATCTACTCCCAGGTTTTACTGTTGCTATTACTATTAACTATTGCTATTCCTGTTAAAAAAAAAAAAATAGAATTAACCTAGGGGCAAATGCTGGCTGCACAGGGCAATTTGAGGGATCAAGATCTAGAGCAATGTTGATATAAAGTAGGAAAAGAAATCTAAAAGCAAATTATTTGCAAATATATTTTAAAATTAGTACTTACTATCAGAAAAAGAAATTGAGATAAACACATCTGTCAATAAAACAACATCAGAACATTCTGATTTGTGAATACATAATTATGAATACGTAATGAATGAAAGCAATAAAACAGGCAGATACATGTGGAGTTACTTCAGTTTGAAGCTACAGTTTTCAGAGGATGACACTTTACCTGTCAGCAATGTCACCAAAAATCACTGCTCCGATCAAGACTCCAAGCATGAATGTAGGCTGGATTAATTTTGCAAGCCATTCTCGATCACAAACCAGATCCCACTGTGTAACAACAGTGCTTTTCCACTTTGTGTTGTCATAGAGAAATCCATCAGAACAAGAAGATATGGACTTATTGCCTTCGTATTCATATGCCGGATCCAAACTGACTTCTCGTTTGGCCCTGCTGCATTGATTAAGTTCCCAAATTTCTCCATTTTCCAGCTGGACTACAATGTAATTTTCTGTTGATGTCCACAGCGTCCAGATGTCCTCTAGACTTGATTCAGAGGAATTGTCGAAAAGAGCACTACTCACATTTCCAGGGATCCCACATACAAAGTTAGGAGTAGCGGCCATGAACACAGACGCTAAGTAATGGATACCACATGACATAGCTTGAAAGACAGATGCAAAATAAACACATGCTTGAAATCTGTCAAGGGAAAGAAAAATGTTTACCAAAGAAAAGTCCTCTATACACGAAAAAACAACAACATAATTACTGTGCTAGGATCAATAAATGGAAACATCACTGAAGTGTCTAGTGTTTCGTTACATAGTGCTGCTTCAATATTAGCAAAGCCTTGCAAGACACCAAAGATGAGAAAAGATCCAGAAGTAATCTATCGTCAGGAAAGTAATCCTGCTCTCAGTCATGTGTTTAGCTGTACACAGAGAAGACCATTTAAAAAGAAACAATACTGAACGTAAGCATTTAGTTTGAAGCAACCTTCCGCTCTCCAATTCTGTGTAGTACCTCCATTTAGATTACTGTAACAGCTACACAAACCAAAATGTTCCAAATTCAGGTTCTGAGGGATAGATATGTGCATCAAGTAAACCAAAGCAAACACATTACACCCTTCATTTCACCTGACTGAATCTATACAGCTGTATTCCATTTGTCTTCCACCTCTCTTTATTGCCTCCAGAAGATGAAGAGAGAATACATGTAGACACATGTAGAGCAAGATAGAATCTGAACAGGGTGAAATATTTTGTACCAAAACATAGCTGTAAACTAGGCTGGGTTTTGGCTTGAACAAGGTGTTCAGTTATCCATTAAAGATTGTATCATAAAGCAAACATGACAAAAAATGTTTTATGCATAGCCTGAATTTTGGCATTTTAACAGCTTTTAAAATATGCTTGAAGTGTGAGTAAATCTTAGTATATAAATTGCACACATATTCTGAATTTCAAAAGACTTGCAATGTATCACTACAAATTCTAGACAGTTTCTGATAATCTAAGTATTAGGAGTATTTTCCTCAATTAAATGTTAAAATTATGCATGTAATTAGTAGAACACCTGTTCAGAAAAAACAACACAGCTTTGGTTTCTCCTCCACTTTTTATTTCCTGAAAGCAAGTCAATTGCACTAATTTGAAGAAACATTCAATAAGCCTATATACATATATACAGTCTTGCTGCAGTATGTGGTGGGCCTTGACTGTATGAAACAAAAAGCAGCTTTTTAAAAAATGATCAGAGGCTCTCTCTGAAGTTATAGGAAATGATGCCTAAAAACCAATTGCCTTGAAATGTCCTGTGGGAAAAGTTAGAACAATTCCAAACCCTGTAACAAACATAACCTCTAGATCAGTCCTCTCCAAAATGTGTCTAATCTAACCTTGGATTCCCATAGTAGAGATTGGAACAGTAGCTAACCTAGGACTTTTAAATCATCCATCATCACAATTTCTAATTAATTTCTAAACTATCTATAACCAAAGTATTTAAATAGCATTTGCTGGATACATTGTCTTAATGTCCCATTAACCTTTCCAATTAAACAGTTTTCTTGTATAACCTTACACCATTCACTATCCTCATTCTTTTGTGATTCTTAATTCTTTCCTTGGAAAACGTAAACCCAGTTCCCTATCCTGTCTTTCCAATGGCATTGTTGCTGTACAGATGCAATGCTTTTATCCCCCTTTCTCTTCACAACAGCTTTGTTGACTTTTCCATAGCAGTCTGAGGAAAAGGTTGAATTGCTAAACCCTCTGTGGCACCTCAAAAGCTGGCTCCACTTCCCCCTTGAAGATGCTGCAAGGCAATGCTCACACAGGTGCTGTGCTGCTCTTTCCCAACAAACCTTGTGAGAGATACGACCAAATGGAACATAACCACAGCATCCCTTAAGTCCATCAATGACCTCTCAAGAGAACAGCTTCTTGAGGACTAAAGAACTACCTATAAAGGAAAGCAAGGCTGAAATGGCTCTGAAAGGCTTTTAGGCTACTTTGGACCACAAAAAAAAAGCCAAGGTTATTCTGAAACAGAACCTTTGTTTCCCTATTAATGCAGACGAACATGGTCAACAACATTTTTTAGTTCCTCTTCTCCGGTTTCATTTTAGCTGTTCCCATCACAAGACAAGCTTATTTTAAAAATAGCAGAGCAAGATCAAATTCAACAACTTGTGCTGTTGTTGCAGTATGCAGAACGACTGAAATCAGGACTACAAGACCTCTGGCAAATTAGCAAATTAAATCCCTAGAAACTGTGCAGTTACATCTTCTAGCTAATAAAAAGTGGCATACCCAGAACCAGGATCCCCAGCACTTGCAGTATTTGTCATTATGCATCAGGAAACTGCAATGTCAGCTAGCCTAGCTGGTATTTCCCAGAGAGAAATGAAGTAATTTCAAAGTGCCATGTATTCTTCTTGAGTTTCCTAATTAGTTCTCGCAGTACAAGAAATATCAGATTAATCATCTCTCTTCTACCCAGTAAGAGTGAAAAGAAAGAGTATATTTATGCCCCTTCTTGTTGGAAAAGCTTGTTAGAAGATAACTTGTTAGAAGATAACAACTTATAAGAAGATAGCAACTTGCAAGGATATGGACTGAGAAGATGGCATGAACCAATGCACTACATTATTTTTTAAAAAATGAAATCCCAAGAGCATCACCAGGGCTATGATTTGGATCAGGTCTAGCTAATCTCTGCACTAACTGCTCCCTTGAGAATTTTATCTTATCTCTTCCTGAACGTTTCTTGTGATCATACTTCAATAACCATTTTGACAGACTGCTCCACTGTCAAATCTTTCTGTTGGGAAGTTTCTCATTAAATCAAATCTCAATGTCCTCCTTTCCTGTGTAAAACTATTAGCAGCTTATAAAACATCCTTGTGCAACCTTGAATAAATCTTCCTTGTCTTTTATCACTTTATCTCTCTCCTGTTACTTTCTAAAACTATATAAATTATGGTCCCTTTCCCCTTCCTCATTTTTTCCTTTGTGCCCTATAGAACAGTTTCCACCTCTGTAAAAAGTAATACAGGATTTATTGTAAAGAAGTATCTATGTCATGCCATATTTCACCCATCTTTCAAAGGTTTATCTTAGAACTAGATATAACAGATTCTTCTTATGAAAATCTTACTTAGTTGCACTGAGGAAATCCACTTTGTAGTCTCATTATTTCTCCTATCTAATTTGCAGCACCTATGCTAAGCAAACACAAAAGGTCAAACAGAAGGCCAGATACACATTAACAGATATAATTTATGCTCTTTATGACTTTGTTTAAGAACAGGAAAATGTATGTTTTTACAGCAAAATGGCCACGTCATTGCAGAATGCTGCAGGATGGATTGCATTGCTCAGTAACTGCCCAATAAAAAAGCCAAGGAGCAGGTAAGATGAGCAGGAAAAGAGAAGATGTGAAGAGTGTGATGTGAAATTAGAAAAGTGTTTGGCAGCACCAGTGGCTGAAGACATCCCACAGCACACTAATAGGCTGCTCCTCTGCCTGTAAAAACTCTCTATTGCTCTCTGCAGTAAAATTCCACAACAGGTTGGCTAAGCCTCTCTCTGTACACAGATATGTAAAACACACAAAATACATGCTGAATGACCTTTTTTGCTGTGAAAGCAAAATCCATTGTTGACTACAATAGTGTTGTAACAGCATCCCCATTGATGCTAAATTGAAAAGTCCAACCTTATGAGCTGCTGAGAATCTCCTGCGGGTAGAAAGAGCTTCTCTTCTAGAAAGACCAGATGTGTAGAGGTCAGAAAACTCATTAACTTGCACTGTTACCAAAAAGGAATTAATTAGGCCGTTTGTGACAACATAGAGAAAGCATAACAAGTATGTAGAGAGGGTGATATGTGGGATGGGAGAATACTATAGATGCATTGAAGTTTGCTTTTCAGAACAGCTGAAGACTGAAAACAGACAGAGAAAGACACAGGCCCAGCCTTGTGGCAGACACAGGTTTGCTGGAACAGTGTTTAGGGCAACAGGCAGTGATAAGTGAGGAGGAACATAAAGCTGACACCTGCTCTATTGCTAGCCTGGGATCCCTCCCTCTGGAACTTCAGGTACATGAGTTTCATCTCAGCCCTCTCACTGTGGCCATGTCAATGCTCTTCCCTCATCTTAAAACCCTGCTTCTCAGCTCATGTGACGGCTGAGCAGCTTCTTCTCTTTGCGGGAGGACTTGAGGCTGGTAGAGCACAGCCACTACTGCTCAGGGAGCCTGAAGCAACCCATTGCGGCAGGTTGTGCCGGGACAGGAGGTCACAGTAGAACATACACAGGTCATACACTATACTGACCCTGATACACACACAGGTTTAAAGCCTATGCTGTCCTTGATGCCTACTGTAAATTATTAACCTTTTTCCCAAATTCTTGATTTAAGAACGCCAGACTAATACGAAACTCCTATATTACTGAGCTTAAATCTCTCTATTGCAAGCCTATACATAACATAACATAACACAAAATATCACAACATATCACAACACAACACGACAGAGTTTAGTAACCTCACCAAACTCCACTGTAAAAGTTAAATTTCCCTGAATAAAGGAATACCGCTGCATCAAAATGGTGAGAAAATACCATTGCAGTAGCCAATAAAAACTCTTGAAATTCACCAAAAGAAAACAAAGTCTGTGATCTGTTTTCCTGCACTGATCTCCAGGGCAGTTTTTGGCAAGAGTATTTTGTATTCTAGTTATCATTCACATACATACATCAGATTACATAACATATATTGTTGCGAAAAGTGGTTTTGAGTAACCTATTTCACAGATTTTTTCTTTTTAAAAAATACTTTTTTTTTAAAGATCTATGAATATGACTGTCCTAAAAGGTATGATAATCTCTCTCAGTATTTTTCCATCTCTTCAGTGACTTGCCATGGGAGATAATTATTTGGCAAGTACATTCTGTCACTCTTGCCAGGAGTGTCAAATATAGAAGTCAAGAAGACTTTGTAGGTTACTGCTCCAGTCTAGAGACTGAATGCCAGAAGTCAAATGAGCATAAAGCTGTCTTCACAAAAGCTTGAGCAAGACACAACATGAAAATGTTCCAGTCTTTCTTAAAATATTTCTGTGAAATTTCTCCCCAGTTTTTCTTTATTTTTCCGTTTCTGGCTTATAGTAAAAAAGACTTTTACATTTT